CCACGCCGATCGATACCCACGGTTCGTTTGTCCTCTAACTCTGTGGCTAGTGTCCTCTCTCTCGCTGTCTTCCTGGCCTGCAGTCCACACTAGTTGTGTGCCTCCTGACTCTGCCCTCATCATGTGTAGGCGAGGTGTTGTGTGGTCTGACGACGAGTCACACCGTGAAGCAAATCTTTCTCACTCTTGCTCTCTCTCGCGGGTTCTCCCTGTCTCTCGCTCTCTCATCTCACGCACCCATGGCTTTGCTCGGCCCCGTAACTCATCCGTTCTTTCATCTAAAGGCATAGACAGACACTCACGCTCATCCTAACCTTGTCAATCCTCGGTTGACAAATTCTCGTGCACCGATTTAGCCGGATAGGGGTCGGAGTGAGGTAATTCACTACTACTACCACTGGTGGCAGGCTGCAAACTTGATTGGCGTTCCACAGTTGTCCCTGGTAGATATAAAGAAGTTGTCCCCCTCCTGGTCATTATTTCGAAAATTGTTAGTACTGCATAACTCCTAAGTTTGCGGTGTCATTCGCACTGCACTGACTTTTCATGGGCACTATGCGTCTCTATTGGCCGCGAGACGCGTACATCAGGACTGATCCAGTCGTGCTCTCTGTTTGCCACGATTTAGTACCGCTCGGGAGATCATTGTTTTCCTGTCCAGCTACGAGTTCCGATCAACCTATGTTTCAGTCCGAGGACGAGGGTTTACTTTCAACGTTGGACACTATCGCCGATTGCACAATCAGCTTGTTTTATCCGTCTATGTTCTTAACCAGGAGCTAACGAAGTTCAAATTCGCCGGTTGCTGCTCTCATTCATGGTCTGTATGACTGGGGAAGCTAATCGGTAATAGTGAACCAGTTTCACGATGCGAAATTCCACAATTCTGTCGCTATTTTCTGCGCATTACATCCCACCGCTACATATTACGTGAAGCCGAATGGAGGCCGGTGAAGTATATCAGTTTTTTCTCCAGTACATCGTGCAATAGTCACCTCGTTTGTGTGTGTGTGCGTTATCGATTCCATGATTACAGTGCTTACACCTATTTTATACACCCCTGAGATATTCAGTGCTAGGTTTCTATGAGTAGTATGTACAATGTGTTTCCGGGACCCCGATCATCTGCCCATTTGAGTCGGAGGATAGGCTTGTTTTATATTGCTAGGACCTAGGTGGTATTGGTCTTAGTACACTCATCATTGGACTCCGGTTTGTGTAAAGCCATTTTTTACTAACCATTTGTATTCAGTTTTGTGCAATTGGCATAACTTCTATTCACGTGTGCATTTGCATTTCAGCCAGAAATCACACCTCCGTTGTACTAAATTACCCAAAAAGTGATTGGGGATAAAACAAAAGAATTCCGAGAATAAAATAAAGAGCAAGAGAAGTCTGGCAAAATAATCGGTCGAAATCATGTAGATTAATGCGAACGTTCAATGGACGGAAATGGTTCTTTACTCCCATCTTCGTTTATTGGTTATAGAAATATATGATAAACTTTCAGGAAGTGAGCCGCGGCCATACAAAGGCTGCCTAGGGAAGTACAGGACATGGGTGATGGTGCCGAGGTTTGAACTCCCAGGTGTCCGATTCAGTAACCTTGGCACTCGATCACCGGCTGGTAACTTAACTTGAAAATGTGGGTTTGTATGTTTCGTTGGCATACCGGTGACGATATAAGATTTTAATTTTTCACAGAGACAAATAATAATAATAATAGCATCGTATAATTATTTCCTCAGTCATGCGTACATGGAAACACTTGAGAATTTAGCTGAGTGATGTTGCCCACTTATTGACGAGTTTATACTCTGACTGGTGTTTCAGCTTATACGACAACGTTCAGACTGGAATGTTCCAATAATAAAATTAGTCGTACCTATTTAATGAGCTCCCTTATATGTGATGGTTGATCGAAAGTTTGAATGATCATCATCCTGTGTTATACGTTACTTTTCTGGCCGAAATGCCAATAATCATCCGGTGTCCCTTTTAACTTCTCAGGTCGTCACTAAAAATCGAATACGTGTTTTACTACTGACTAACATGATAGTAGGCAAAAATTGTAGGGCCGTTTGTAGCCTTTGACGTCAATCATTTCTGTGCTTTGCGTTCAATCTCCAGCGGCCAAAAAGAAACGTCCTTCAGAAAATCCAACGATATTGGGTCAGCCTCAGCAAGGCATATCGATTCAGACCATACCAAGCATAAACCTTGCTGGTTGTACATCCGATGTCCAACTGCAGCAGCAACAGCTACAACAATTGCAACAGCAGCAGCAGCAACAGGCTTTCTTCTTTCAACAGCAGCAACAACAACAGCAACAACAGCAACAGCAGTTGCAACAGTTTGCGCAACCGATGAATCAGCAACATGCTGCACTCCAACAATCGCAACAACAACAACAACAAGTGATCGTGAGTGGTGGTCAACTCATGTCCGCCGCACCGATGGTGACACTTGCTATGACACCCGGACCGACGGGGACTGCGATTCCAGTTCACCCAGGTATGCTGATGGCCATATGGTCCGCAGGAAAGTATTTCATGACTACTTAAGCGTAACTATTTTTGTAATCGATTTATTTATCAATTTGTTTTTACAGAGCATTTGTTACACAAAAACCAAAGATTACAGTTATTACCTTACGTTATTACTTTGAAATCGTCTTTTGTGTTCCACTCGTGGACTGAAATCGGCGGAAGTTGGATAGGCCGGTTTAAGCCGCGTATACGACTATTTTTTGTGGTTCTCTGCTCTACTGAATATCGGTTATCGTTCGCCAATTCTCTCATCCGTTTCCTATATTGGCAATGTATTACTCGTCCATCGGTCCCTGGAATAACAGTACTAGTTGATCAACCCGTGCGTGGCTATAACCAACTGGTTACGGTCACCAAATGTTCAATCGAAAGGTTCATTTCAGGTTTTATTCAACCCCTACTATCGCCGCTTAGTTTCCTTCATTTCATTATTTTAGGTAGCAGCCCTCTGGTTGCTTCCGCTCCCTAAAAATCGTTTGTCTTGTCATGTTTGCAATAAAATCAAGTTGAGTATTGGAGTTTATACTTTTGGGGATGTGCAAGCTCTCTAGTGTACGCATTGGTTTCAACCAATAAATTCTAACTGGGTGGGAGTTGTCGTCAGACGTATTCATTCCTATTCCGCCTTATACCATACGGCACCAGGCTCAGTTTCCTCGATATAATATTAGCTGAGTGCTTTTGTGCGAGACGTTAGGTT